ACTGATTGCATTTCTCGGCATCCTTGGACTGTACGTTGTGGCAAACAGATGCCCAAATAACACGGGCCATCGCTGTGACGAAGCCTGCAATCCTGCAGATAGCATTTCCAAAATAGTTCCGTAGGGAGTCTCCTTCCTTGTGCAGAAAGTACAATAGCGGGTCAACACTTCCACGTCCACAAAATGTGTGTGTCTCCCAAGCAATCACAGTCTGCATGCCATATAAGGAGCTGTATCCTCGTCGCATCCATGTTCCGTCCGCTGTGACGGCGATTTCGGCTGGCGATTCCTCCCCGGCTGCAACTCATTGTGTGAACCCAACTTCAGCAGCATTATTCATGCTCAAACTTGCAGTAGCTTTAGCAGCTTGGTGAAGATTCTTCACGTGGCGCTGGTAGTTCTTCTTTGCAACCGGCGCTGGCAAATTGAGGAATGCACACAATTTCCGGAAATCCTCGCGGACTCGTTCAAGCAGGCGCATAGCCAGTACGCTCTTTCTATTCAATTCAAAATAACTGGATGTCTTTCCCACTGCGGGCGGTGAAGCAACAGCAGTGCGGTAGTTGCATGCAACTTCAATTATGGAGACTAGGCCAGCTCTTACATTTTCTGCAAACTGCTGATGTGGACAATAAATTCTGCAATTAAATTTAATTTCTGCAAACTAAAATTCCGCTTGTCAGAATCCAGGACTTCATCACTCTCCTCACTCGAGTCTTCATTGGAGTCACCAGCGCTCTCGGTATCCTCATCTGCAAGTAAGTTCAGATCGCCAGCCAAGGGTTCACAGCTACGAGACGTGTCAGGTACTCCCAATTGCTCAGAGTCACATTCAGTTTGAGCACGAGATGCAGACTCGTTTTCTTTCTCCAGATCTCTGCGCTTGGGGCTCTGGAACTGGTTCCCGTAGAAAACACGCTTCTTGGCTCTGTAGTTAGCGGACTATCTCCTCTTATTGCCAATGACCAGAAGACAAAAGCTACAGAGAACAGCGGCCACGCCAATTTCCAAATTTTTCTGTACTTCCTTTGACGCGGATTTGCATTTTTTTGTTCGTGCTGACAGTGACACCGTACCAGTGCTGACCTGCTGACTGTACTGCAGAGCTGAGGAGATGTACGGGTCGGTACTATACGGGGTACAACTAAAAGCCAACACGGCACACACACACAAATAGCTGGCGGTCTTGGCACCCTCCGCGATCCACGCGGTGAACCGGAACGAAGATTGATTGCGCTTGCGAACTGCATTCAAAGTGGAGATCAGCTGATTTTTTACAAATTCGCAGTGGGAGTTGGTTTGAATTTTTAAAATTTCCCAACCGTCGTGTTGTTTACCGCATAAAAAATTACACCAGCGGAAAGTTCATCACTTTAGGAGGAAAATGAGCCGGATATGGCCTCATTCTGACAACTTTCATTTTTTGGTCCTTTTTTTGGACCCAAAAGGGGATCTGCCACCTTAAAGGGGAAGTATACCCTAAAATCAAATTTTCACCAGTTGTAGTCTTCGGGGTGCTGAGTCGAATGGTCTTGGTCCGAGGAAGCTGAGACGCTCCCTTCCTACTTGAATCCCAATCGAACTCGCGCACTTCCACCGAAACTGGGTGACTGCGCCCTACTAGATGGGGATTTGTATGCAAAATGTCACTAAAAGCGCCATTCCGTTCTTATAAAAGCACGGATGACCGCGATTGGCCCATATGTTGTAGTCTTTTGGACGCTGAGTCGACTGGTTTTGGTCCGAAAAGGCTGCGATGCAGCGTTCGGCCCTTATTCCCAATCGAACATGGTTGAACAAGCGGTCACGTGCTCCTGCGTACACCAGTCAGCTGGTCACCGTGCCTGCAGGGTACAACTTACTAGCCTGTTTGACCTTTTTTGGGTGCAGTCCTGTCACTCGAGTTGAACTCGAGTTGAACCTTGGTGTGAAAGTTGTCGCCTGCTGGCGCGGTGACCAGGTGATTTGGGCACCCAGGAGCACGTGACCACTTGTTCAACCATGTTCGATTGGGAATAAAGGAGGAACGCTGCATCGCAGCCTTTTCGGACCAAAACCAGTCGACTCAGCGTCCAAAAGACTACAACATATGGGCCAATCGCGGTCATCCGTGCTTTTATAAGAACGAAATGGCGCTTTTAGTGACATTTTGCATACAAATCCCCATCTAGTAGGGCGCAGTCACCCAGTTTCGGTGGAAGTGCGCGAGTTCGATTGGGATTCAAGTAGGAAGGGAGCGTCGCAGCTTCCTCGGACCACGACCATTCGACTCAGCACCCAGAAGACTACAACTGGTGAAAATTTGATTTTAGGGTATACTTCCCCTTTAAGTACAGTGTAGCTACATGACTACCAGGATGACATCCAGGAGCGATCAAAGAATACA